GCCATTAAATTGGATTGTTGACTGCATGCGTATCACTCATACGACGCGTTGGCGGCAAACGATCGACCTCGACCCCATTGGGATTGAACCCTAAACGGCTTACCAGCGGGGCTCAAGGCAACTGCTCGATGGACAGCGCAGCAGACACCATCTACACTGGACATCGGCCATAAATATCTTCACACTGCCACTTGGACAACAGACTTTAAATGCACTACGAGAAATCCAAAGTCACTTTAAAATTATTTTTAAAATATTGTATTAAGTTTTAAAGTTTTAGCTGACTGTTAATTGTTGTTGTAAAAAAACATTTCTGTTTGTGGTATTAAACATGTTTTAACAGTACATGAATTCTAAATTAAAGTAACCGCGAATTCTTCAGAAGAAGGGGAACTAATGGTGCTAATATTGTTTTAGCTTAATGTTTATAATGTTAAGATTTCGTATAACATATGTAAACACTTTGAAAATATTTATATATTTTACTTAATTTTCAAAATATTTAAATTGATTTAATTGGTATTCATCACCTTGATCGATAGTTTTTTTTGTCAGTGCACCATCGTTCATTGTCCAGTGTCCTTCGCAGGATGCCTCTGCAGCAGCAGTTGACTTTTGCCGCATTGGCGCTTGCCCCCTAGAGCATTTGCCCGGGTTTTTTATGCTCACAACTCAATTTGAAGCCAACTGGCCGAAGTGCGTGCCCGGGAGCCCAAGAGGAGGAGCAGAAGGACCAGAAGAAGCACAAGGAGCCGGCCGAAGGAACAAAGGCAATATTAGAATTTGTTGCCGAGCCGTGCGGCTTTTGTGGCACTTCTCATTGTTTTTCCCACAGCATCCTTGTTGCTCCTTGTGGCTCCTTGTTGCTCTTGGTCGACAGCACGACAGCTTAACCCCAGCACAGCGTTTAAGCTGCACAAGTTTCGAAACAAATCCCGCCCAGATCCATAATTCTTTTCCGCACCTAAAGTGACACAGATCTCGGCTTAGTGTACTACCGCCGCTGTTGCCGTTGCCATCTTAATGTTTAATTTTTATGCCAGCCCCATGAATATTGCAAGGCGCCAGGGAGCCACTGAGATTTGCTCCCAAAATCCCACGGCTCGATATGAAAAATAGATAATAATTTTAGCCAAATCACAGATAAATAATAGAAAACGATGGGGGAGACACATAACAAATTGTCAATTTATAAAGTGAAAGTTTTTGGTCGACTAATGGAGGCCAAAAGTTGAATAAATAATAAATTAAGCGAATACTTTTGTGGCCATCCTCGAAAAACAAAGCGAAATAAGCTGAACAAAAAAATGCGGGAATGATTCTCTGCGGAGTAATAGCTGTCATAAAAAAAAAATATATATATATATAAGGCGGGAAAACGTGAAAAGGCGCAAGGAAAACCGCAGAGCAGGTGGCAGCGGGGGGTGGTGATTTTCCTTTTGGCGGCCATGGGGCAATAGCTTAAAATTAGCCATAAGCAAAATTACTGTAAAATGGTTTAAATGAGTGTAAGGGCAGAGGAATATAATAAGCCCAAAAGAAGCGCATAATAAAAAGGGCAGCGCCGAGTGGTCCGCGAAACAAAGGTCGCGATGGGTGGGCGCCACATTGCCACATAGCCACCCACCTCCCGTGGGGCGGGCTGTTAAATGAAGAATAAAGCAGCAAATACAAATACGAAATGTGCCTTGCAGCCTGTCTATAAACAGTCATGGAAATATGATAGTTACCATACAATATTTATTATGGCAATGGGGTTACTTAAGACGTTACCTGCCATACAATTGTAAAACCATCAAAAAATTATAAAATTTAAGCACTTATTTGATTATAAAAAAATTATTTTAAATCTTAAAAGTTAGAATATATATACTAAAATACTGAAAATTAAAAAAAAGAATCAATGAAGTTTATTAGATATTTAGAAATATGATATAATAATTTGTATGTGCCTATTCTTACCATTTGACTTTTTACCCTGTAGGTAAGATAAGTTTCAACATTTTAAGAGAACATTACTGATTCTCACAGAAAAATTAGAAAATATTTTTTAAAATACAAAAAAAATGAAGTTTTATAGATATTTAAAAATGAGATATATATATATGTAAATTATTATGTATTGTTATGTGATCTCTATTCTATTGCCCACCGCTGTATTATATTGTGTGTGTTGGAGTCTGATGGCAAACATATTTTATGAGTTTTATTGTTGCTGGTGCTTTTTCTTGTCTCCTGGCGAGGCTGATAATAAAACTTGGCCGCTGGCAGGCAGCGCAGCCCGCTGGGAGCATAATCGAGCCTTTTACATTGGTCCTGGGTGTTGGCACATGTAGCTGTGTGGAAAGTGTGTGAACGCAGCTTGATTTCGGGGTAAAAATGACGAGAAAAAATACCCCAAAACCCGCACGTTTCTACGAATTTTACACACACTTTTAAATCTAATCAATTATTTAAATATATTCTTTTTCATTTAAAGACCCTAAATATATAATCATCACTTTGAGGAAATTAAAAGATAGAACAAAGGCATAAAAAAGTCAAAGATGATGATGCAGTCCTTATAAAAATGTATGTATGTATGTATTTTTACAAAATATAGATTTTTTTAAAAGTGATTTAAAACTGAAATATTTTTAAAATATGCAAACCAAGTAGCAGGACATATACCCCTTTCGACCAAGGTAGATATACCCCATTGCATGGGTGAAGTGCATGTAGTGCTGCCCCTCCACTCGACCATTTTATATGTTTTTCACTCGTATTGTTGCCGTTCGTGTTTCAACAAAATTGAAAATGCAGTAGCTGACTCACCTTAAATACCCAAAGGGACTTTGACAAGCCTCATTAAGGATACATCGACAGTGTGCAGTAATAAGGATTGTTATGAAATAATGCTGTCTCAAATTTAGCTCCCTTGTCTGCTCAAGTACAGATAATATCGTGCACTTATGCTGCTTAATATGCTTTTTGCTCACGCATTTTTTCCCCAAACAGGTTTGGGGCGGATAAAATGCTTTAAGGCGTTGGAAAAAGGGACCTGCAACAGGATTGACAACAGCATGAGTATATATTCAAATTGCTTTCGGGCAGCTAATAAAAAGCTTGTAATCAAGTGGGACGGCAGTGGAGATGATGGGGTGAGTGGGTAGCAAACTTTTAGCTTCAGTCAACAACTCACAAACTTGGACATGTTAGGGGAAAAAAATAAAAATAAAATAAAAAAACAAAAATAAAAAAAAAGGGGGAAATATGCCACTAGGATATGCATGAGCAGCAGCTTATGCACAGCATAGCTCATGAGTTTTGCATGGGGCTGTGCAGTTGATAGTTTGTTGCAGGACGAGATGGAAAAGTATTTGGAAAAGGAGCTGAGCTGAGCAGAGCAGAGCAGAGCCGAGCAGGCGGCTCTTTGCACTTATCCGAGTGCACAAAGCAGCTAAGCAAAACACTCGTTGCAGCCAACTTAAGGCTAATTTAAGTGACTGAATCTGTATCTATCCGAGTGAGTGGCTGTGAGTGTGCAGAGTGCGTATCTCTCACTCGCTCCTCCTCAAGGACTCCAGAGCTCCAGAGCTCCAGGACTCCCGACCTCCCGACCTACTACCGCCCGCCCATCTGGACCCTCCAAGGAGCTGCTCCGACTTTTACCTGGCCCAAAGTGTCCCGGGTTAAGCTGCTCGCCTGCCTTTTCCGTTCAGCTTGCCATCATCAATGAAAATGCTCGTAAATTATGCAAGCCTAGGAAAATAAGCTGCACTCAAGTGCGTTTCCTTCCTCGCCTTAAGAGTCCTCGTCCTTCTGTTCCCTGCCAGCACTTTTGGCTGGGCTGCACGGGGCGTATGCGTGATATCCAATTATATTACATAATGGCAACGCAACGTGGCCGCCTGCAGCGCAGTATCGATCATTATATCTTTATATTTTCTTTTAATTTTTAATCCCCTCTTTAATTGGTTATTCCCTGAAAATTGCTAGTTTTCACTAATTATTGGGTTGTGAGTGTTGTGCCAATAAAAGGACACCTGGTAATCCTCCAAGGGCTTTCGTTCTAAAAGGGCCAATTAACTAACAAGGGACTCCACTCGAAAAAATAATGCTTAATGATATTTTTTATACCCGTTACTCGTAGAGTAAAAGGGTATACTAGATTCGTCGGAAAGTATGTAACAGGCAGAAGGAAGCGTTTCCGACCCCACAAAGTATATATATTCTTGATCAGGATCACTAGCCGAGTCGATCTAGCCATGTCCGTCTGTCCGTCTGTCCGTCTGTCCGTCTGTCCGTCTGTCTGTCCGTCCGGATGAACGCTGAGATCTCGGAAACTATGGGAGCTAGGCTATTGAGATTTGGTGTGCAGATTCCTGAGCTTCTTACGCAGCGCAAGTTTGTTTCAGCACAGTGCCACGCCCACTCTAACGCCCACAAACCGCCCAAAACTGTGGCTCCTACAGTTTTGATGCTAGAATAAAAATTTTAACTGAAATGTATTGTTCTCACCAATACCTATCGATTGACCTAAAAAAAAGTTTGCCACGCCCACTTTAACGCCCACAAACCGCGAAAACCTGTGACGCCCACAATTTTCATGCTAGATAAAAAATTTTAACTGAAATGTATTGGTGTCGTCAATACCTATCGATTGATCCAAAAATAAATTTGCCACGCCCACTCTAACGCCCATAACGCTTAAATCTGTGTACCTCCGGTAGGTGGCGCATTTTAATCTCGCTTTGCTGCTTGCATATCTCCATATAGCTGAGTAACGGGTATCTGATAGTCGAGGTACTCGACTATAGCGTTCTTCCTTGTTTTATTTAGTATTTGTATAATTCTAACACTCCTTAAGCAATTTTTCATTTTGTACCTTGTTATTATTATAATAAAGTTATTTTTATTTCATAAAACTTATCAAGAGTAAGTATTTAATCAAATTTTTAGTGTCAGTGCTTTTAATTTTCTATATAAAGCAAATACACTTTTGGTTTGTCCTCAAAGAAAAGCCATCTATACCGACATGAGTGTCCAGTTTATCAAAAAACTACTGAATCTCAAGAAGATTCCCATAAAGAAGGAGAACAATGTGTATCCTAAAAGCAAGGACTTCTTTAAACTGCCAGTGATGTTTTACCACACCATTGGCCTACATCCCTACGAGTCCTCGAAACCTGAAGATAAGCCCGGAATTATGTTCCACATTTACTTCCTCTGTCACATGATCAACTTGGTGTTTGTGGTGATCATGGAGATACTGTTTGTAATTATATCCTTTCGGAACAAAGAGAATTTTCTGGTCTCTTGCATACAGATGGGTTGCATAGCGTTCGTATTCGCGGCCCTTGGCAAGGTCGTTTCCCTAATATTTCTGAAAAAAAATATGTCGAACCTGGTAGAGGAGCTAGAAACCATGTTTCCACGACCTCGACAAGAGGAGCAAGAGCAGTATGAAGTAAACAAATATCTAAAAACCAGCAACCTGTATAATAAGTCATTCGGAATCATCTACGTAGTTTTGGTGGCAATCAACAGCATGTTTGAACTCATCGAGTACATCATCTTAAGGATGATGAACTCGCCGAATGCGGAGCCATCGATGCCATACGTTGAGTTGGCTCCCTGGGACTATCAAGAAGGATGGAAATTTTACCTGACCTATGTGTCGCAGGCGATTGCGGGCTATACGGCAACCTGTGGTCACATCTCAGCAGATCTAATGATCTTCGCCGCCACCATGCAGGCCATTATGCACTTTGACCGTTTGTCCCGGGCTCTCAAGGAAATGCAGGTGCGAAAGGGTTCAGGTTCCAAAGGAGGAGCTGAGGAAAACCTGAGGGAACTTCAGACTTTGATCGCCTATCATAACAAAATTCTTGGGTAAATCCGATAGAGAATATTAAAATGGTTCTAAAACCGTACAATACTAATTAATACTAATCAAAAAACAGTACTTAATCCATACAAAACTAATCCATTCTAGCCTCAACAGCAAATTAACTTATCTTCCCAACATTAAATTTAACTTCCTTATTAACTTTACATATCGTATAGACTCACAGACGTGATAAACGTGGTGTTCGGCATTCCACTACTGATGAATTTCGTGGCCTGTTCAATGCTCGTCTGTTTTGCGGGATTGCAGATGACCGTTGGCATTACTTCTGGGTACTTTGGAAAGCTTTTGGTGACACTTGTATCGCCTACGGTGGAGATATACCTTCTTTGTTCCATTAGCCAAATGTTGATCGATGCGGTAAACTGAGTCTACTTGAATTTTTTACCACGTCTTTAATAACACCTAACGTTGCACTACTTTCAGAGCAAAGGAGTTTCCTTTGCTGTCTACGACATGAATTGGCCGGAAGCCGACTCGCGTTTTCGAAAGATGCTTATTTTTGTGGCCAAGAGGGCTCAGAAACCGGTATGCCTAAAAGCCACTATATTTCTGGATCTCTCCATTGAAACCATGAGCATGGTTAGTTCTTAAAGATTTTATATAATGTGTTTTAACATAATTTTTTTTCAGTTTTTGGGGATGACCTACAAGTTTTTCTGCGCTATAAAAACAGTGTGTCAATAATGATAGTAAATGTTGGAAAATAAATTTATGAAAATGTTTCATGGTTGAATAAGTTTTGTTGTTTGTTTTTAGAAAAAGGGTTTTAAAATTGTTAAATTAAAATCAAAATTTTAATAACGTTTTTTTTTTTTCGAAAAACCACTAATCTTTGATGAACATTTAAGAATGACTATTACATTTTTGAACTTTATATAACTTGTATAATTTTTAAAGAATACTTAGCAAGTTTTTGTTGTGTTTTTAAATTGTAGATTAAAAAATCAAATACTTTGGCTTGTGAAATATTTACAACCCAAACTAAGCTCGTCATTCTTGAGCAAAAATCACATGACTAAGGAAAACTACAAAATGAATGACAGGGCATTTACAGGTACACTGAAAAAACAATTTCATAATATAAGTATTTACAAAATTAGTTTTTGAATTCTAATATACATATTTTATTTCCCAATACTTTTCAATAAGCACTCAAAATAAACAGGTAATCTAAGAATAGACTGCCTAACACCCCCGAAAAACTTAATGTATCTTTACTATTTTATGCTCAGTGCGTGCCCTTCAATGAAATTGATTTTTTATATTGCTAGGCCTATAAAAACTCGGTCATTTTTGGTCCCAACTCAAGTTCGCACTCGAATATCATCCGATATGGCTATTAACTTGTTTAGAAAGGATGATCGCAAGAAGCCAAATCCAGAGTATCCTGCGGTCAACGATTTTTTAAGGCTGGCCGTGATTTTCTACAATTCCGTAGGCCTTGAGCCCTACGAGTCATCGAATCCCGAAAAGAAGCCGGGAATCCTGTTCCACATGTACTTCGCCTTTCAGATCTCCAACATGACCCTTTGTCTTGTCGAGGAGATCATTTTTGTGGTGGTTTCGTTCCGAAACAATGAGAACTTCCTTGAATCCTGCATGGTGCTGAGTTATATCGGTTTTGTCACCGTTGGGGGCTTGAAGTACATCTCGGTGCTGTTTCGGAAAAAAAAGATGAACAATCTGGTTAGGCAGCTTGAGTCCTTCTTTCCGAGTCCCAAGGATCACGAGAAATATTCGGTGAAGGAGTTTTTAAAGCGCTGTCATAGCTACACAAAGGGATTTGGCGGACTTTACACTATACTGGTGGTGATCTACAACTTTTTTAACCTCATCCAGTACAGCATTCTCCATCTGCTGCAGTCGCCGAATGCCAAGAAAACTATGCCCTATGTGAACATGGCTCCTTGGGACTACCAGGCCAACTGGAAATTCTACTTGACCTACCTTGCCCAAACGATGGGGGGGTATACGGCCACCTGCGGTCACATCTCAGCAGATCTCATGATCTTTGCCGTGGCCATGCAGGTCATTATGCACTTCAACCGCCTGGCTCGGGCTCTCAAGGAATTTCAGGTGCAAGCCTGCTCAGGATCTAAACAGGGAGCCGACGAGGACCTCAAGGAGCTGCGGTCCCTGATCTCTTATCACAACCAAGTTCTTGGGTTAATAATATTTTTAAGTACATATTTCAAATCTAAATCAACCTTTATCATTTTTTGTAACTGATTTTTTAATACTATTTATTATTTTTTTGTAATCTTAAATGAACTTATAACCTGTACAGGCTCACCGATGTGATGAACGAGGTCTTTGGCATCCCGCTTCTTCTGAACTTTGCTGCATCCTCGGTGCTAGTTTGTTTTGTGGGATTCCGGCTGACCGTCGGCATAAGTCCTGAGCAGTTTTTAAAGCTAATGCTGATCCTGGTATCGGCTATGATAGAAATATATCTGCTCTGTTCTTTTAGTCAAATGCTGATCGATGCGGTTTGTTGTTTATCAGTGGGTCTTATATTATTAATATATATATTAACATATATTTTCAGAGTGAAAGTGTGTCAATTGCTGCCTGGAACATGAATTGGATGGAAGCCGATACGCGTTTTCGAAAAATGCTCATTTTTATTGCCCTTAGAGCTCAAAGACCTGTGTGCCTTAAAGCAACAGTTTTCCTGGACGTCTCTATACAAACCATGAGTTCCGTGAGTTATCTTGGATTTTTTTTATAACAATAAATTGATTTTGTAATATTTTTGCAGTTCTTGCAAATGTCCTATAAATTCTTCTGTGCCATTCGAACAATGTATCAGTAAATGTATTTGAAATTTTAAGAAATACCTATCCTTTAGATATAACTTTATGACTCTGATTAAATCTTACTGTGAGAAATAAAGTAAAATTTTATCTGTCTTGACGTATTTATACTAGTTCGCTTTTATACACAAAATGAAGGTAAACTTTTTAATTAGGCTGTCGTAGTTTACGCGACTTTCATAAGACTTTAATGATTAACGTGGGGAAGTGTGAAATATCCAGCACTAAACCTGGGCAAAATAAACCAGTTTTAATTCAGACTAAGGCGACTTTAAGCGACGTCACTGGGCTGTAAAGAAAATGGTGAGCTGTGCAGAGCTCAAAGCGGAAAAAATGAGTACAACCAAAGGAAAAGTTGCACAAGGTGAAATTCAGAAGAGGCTAGAACACTCGCACACACATGCAGCCGCCTTCAACACACACACACACACACAAAGAAGAGGGCCAAAAGAAGGCGTGACACGGTCGAAAAACTTGAGCCACGTTGAACTTTGGCCTTACCTTGGCCGTAAACTTGTCCCGGCGACTGGCTGGCAATTAGTGCACCTTTCACAGGGCAACTCCACGGTGGGCAAGCATTGAGAAATGTCAGGGTAAGTTCACATTGAAAGTAGTATAATTCATAAAACTAAAATTATGCAAGCTATTTTTTTAGAAAATACCAGGTCCTGCTTTTCTTAGTACCAAGTTTTCGGTGTATAGGTAAGTATATATTAGCTATGCTTCATTTATAAATGTATTACAATTTAAATACGGTAACCATAATTTAAAATTATTTTAATATTTCTGATTTGTTTTATCAATGATCAATATTTTAATGATCTGTTTGATGCTTTGATATTGACATAAAATTGATCTTAGTTTGATTTTAAAAAATAATTATTTTTTAGGTTTAATAATTATTTATTATTATTTTTATTTATTGTATGATCTTTCATTTTCACTCTAAATCAAATGAAACATATACCACACCATTTTAAAGCCTATCCTATTTTATTCAGTTAATATATAAGCATTTGATATTCTATCCTAGGTAGTTTTTAAAAATGCTAATGCTTAGGTCTCCTGTATATTTTTGCTTACGTAGCTGAAAAAAGTATCTTTGCCCTAACTTTTATTACCCCCCAAGTGTGTGGGTGAGTATCTGTGTGTGGGCGTGGCCATTTAATTCATTTTCAGGAGCAACAAAACCAGGAAGCAGCGAACACTGTCGCTTTTGCACACAATTTCTCATTCAGTTCAGAAGTTTCGCTCGCTCACAAGTTTGTAATTCTTGGCCTGTTAACAAAGTTCATAAATACTTGAGAAACTTGGTTGGGTTTACCCGGCCCAAGGCCATAGAGCCAAAGGATAAGCGCAGGAGCCTGATTTCGCAGCCTCGTAATTGGTATTGTACTTGATTCATGCTCACAGGTGAGAACAGGTGGGATTGCAGTTCATTATCAGTTGATTGGCGGGATGAGTGACCCACCGGAATTTCAAGGGAATCGTTAAATTCCTTAGATATTTGCAGTTACGTTTTATGGCCAACTAACTGCTAGTTTTAATGGCTGCCAACTATTTGGTAAGTGCCTTGGCCATAAAATCGAATCGGGCATATTGAATACTTAGTTATATATTGCACGGTGTCCGGAGAACAATTTCGAACCCCTACATCCCACCGTCAAGCGATTTTCCCCCAACGGCAGTCAAGAGCACAGCAATTGCAATTGAAAAGCGTGGTAGGAAATCGGTGGGGGGATTGGGGATTGGGTTTTCCAGGGGAAAAACCAACCCACCGTTTGCCAATATCAATGAGATCTCCGGAACCCGGACTCAATTCGCTTTGTTGCTCACTTTGCCGCTTTGCCCCGTCTCTTTCTGCCCCATGCTCACCCATCTCTTTCTTCCCTCCAGCGAGCATTTGAAATTTTAATTATAAAATATTGCTGGGAAAAGTTCTCAGGTCGGCAACGCTAGACCAAGCTGGTGTGTGGGATGTGTGCCATCAAAGGCGGTGGCTGGAGGTACAGTGAATACTGCAGAAGGGGGAAGTAAGCTTATGCAATATTCTTTTGATAATAACTGGGGAAGCCAGAAGGTCTTTTGGCAATTTTAAATACCTATATTTTAAAGGTCGTAAGAAATGTGGGATGTTGAATTTCTATAATACGAGTATTGACAGCAGGAAGATTTCTTGGCTTTAAAAGCTTAATCAAATGTTATAACATTAAAATAAATATTAAATATTTTATATAGTTTTATGTTATTATACATACATTTATTATTCGTAACTTACAAAAATATAATTGCATTTATTTTAATTAATTGATTTAAATTGGTAGAACTTTTTTAGCTGCCTATAAAATATAAAATATATTTTTAAAGCCTTAAATGGAATATATGGAATATCTAAGAAAAATTTCACAAAGTGTTAAAAATAAATTGACTATTTTTTAAAAGTTAATATATGTAAAATTATCGGTTGCATAATTTTTTAAAATTTTAAGAAATGTAATTTGCCAATTAGTTAATTATTATAATCATTTATTTTCTTACAATAAATTTGACATATATTTTAAAAGGCACCTATAAGTATCTCTGGAATCCCGACAAGTCGATTAAGGATGCTCTTAAGCGGTTGGAGCTTTCGGTGACACCCCTGTAAGTCGCTGTTCCGGGTTCCCAACGCGCCCCGAGTCCTCCACACTGGTGACTTCACCTCCAGGTCCACCAACCCACTCGTAATCACGTTACACACACTGTGTCCATGCGTCCTGTCAGAAGTTCGAGCTGCAGGCATTCCGTCGATGGTTCGTTATCTGGCATTTGGCATGGGGCTAGATCAATGTGGCGCAGGTGAGTGGCACAGGTGATGCAGTGGCTCAGTGGAGGAGACTACAGAAAGGGGGGCCTTTGCACTACTTCAAAAAGTAATTGTTTGCGATTTGGAGAGTGTGGCGTGTGTCGGGCAGACTTTTGCCGGGGATTGGGATGCAGTGAGGCAGTCAGGACGGCGAGACTCTTGAGACATTTGAGTGGCCAAATGGGTGGGAGGAGCAGGAGCAGGAGCAGGAGCAGCTAGAGATGGAGCTGGAATCGGGGCATAACGATGACAGCAAACGAGCTGCAGTTAAAGCTGCCTTGGGCCCTACATAGCCATATTCCCATCCCCCCCCCCCCATTTCTCTATCATTGTCTCTATCTCTGGCAGTGACTTTCGCTTTAGGAACGAGTTTATTTGCAGTCGAAATATGTCCCCAGACGGCAACAATAGCAATTAGTTCATTGTCAATAGTTTGCTCGTTGAAAATTTCAGGACTAGAAAAGGCAAGGACATCGTTGTTGGAGCAAAGGGAGGCGGCAAATTTAACTAAATTGTAATCGGAATATGCACATGCAAATGGCATTAGCCTGAAATGCAAATTACTTTACGGCATGCCAGTCGCAAAATTCAGTCGAAGGATGCGACAAGGACAACTGCCATGATGATGATGATGATGATGATGATAATGATGATGATGGGGATTTCTGGGGGAAATAGGATGCACTCAAATTGCCAGCGCTTAAGTGAAGTAAGCTAATTAATTTTGCATTGTGTTCTGACCCTTATGCCACCATTACCAAGGACCACCAACCCATACCCCCTTCGATTTTCGGGCCCTGTTGGATTGCGAATCCTTTGTGCCCAGGATGTTTACTTTTCATTAATTGAGTTGGGCAAAAGTCGTCCATAATTTCCATGCGCCTGTCGCGCCTGCTGGCCATTAAACAATACGGAATACGGCAATTCGGAGCAGTTTTCCACCCACAATTTTCCACCTATCTACCCCCACCCCACCCCTGGAAAACTCCTCCCTTGGCGCCAGCCTGTTAATGACGTCGTTGAGTGTCTTGGCGGCAATTGTGCAAACTTTGTATTATCATCGTCGCTGACATGGGCCAAAGAGCATTTACCCAAGGAAAATCCTTTTATTTCCGCCGTAATTTTATGTATTCCCATTGGGTCGAATGGAGTTCACCAGGCAGAGATCGAGTTACTTTCAAGGATATCGATACGTGATTGCTCCGAAGGACCATGCCCTTTGGGATGGCGATGGCTTAATGCACAATTATCCACTGTAAACTTGTTAATTTCGCATATTGTGTCTCTACGTAAAGACAATCGCCCGGCCGGAATGTTCATAATCCAATAATTGCAAAGAGCCTGTTATTGTTTTGCCATACATGGTTTCGTGCAATTTCAATTTCAAGTTCTTGTTTGGCTTAATTACAACTTGTAATTGACTAATTAAGCTGCTTAAATAGCATGGTCATTTCGGTTTATATATTATCTTTAGGTGAATTTTTGATATTATTGTTAAAGTCGGCATTGTAGAAGTTGAGTAATTGAATTTAATTGTTCTTCTTATCAAATAAATATTTAATATGTAAGGTTATCTACCTTTTAATTATAAATATTTATGTAATAAATTTAAAACCTAAATTTGGAATATTTAAATTTAGTTAATTAAAAAATATTTTAAAAATATAAAACAAATAAATTTGAATTTATTTTTGAAATATTTCAATGTTTTATATTATAAATATTAGACGTTATTAGTTCATGTAACCTAAGAGAAGTGTCTTAATTTAAATAATATTTTTAAATCGACTTTGTACGTCTGTCTGCCTGAAGTTTCTTAGACACAATCTTTAATCATGGGTCTGTATTATAATTATATTATATTATCTTGATCTTGGGTCTGTATTAATATTGTATTATTATTATAAAAATATTATATGATACGATCTAACAATATATGAATTACTCCTGAAATATAGCGATTATGTCCTGTTCAAAAATAATAAATGATCAATTTTCTGACGACAATATGCATCTGAATGAAGACATAGACTTCGAGATGCAATTTCTGATGTCACTGGGGGCACAATTTCGAGGAGGGTCATCGGGTGAGTTCTGATTTAATTTCTTTTTCCCAACATATGCCATCCAGCGAATTTCCGCTTCATTACGCTTGCAAACAAGTTGAGTGTGAGTGTGTATTCTGTATAAAAAGGATCAGAGCAAAGTTCGGGATGCTTTTTTCTTGGATT